AATACAGATATTCATGAGTTTCAGGATAGTCTGTTAAGTATTGTACATGATCTGAAATTAGACAAAAGTCAATGTGTGCTAACTGGAGACTTCAATATCAATCTTCTAGGCGATGAAATGGCAGCTGATAACTTTCTCACCTCCATGCAATGTATCGGCATGCATCAATTGATTAATTTTCCTACTAGAGTAACGCAACATGGCTTCTCTTTGATTGATCATATATATACCAATATGAATGTTCCCAGTATTCATGCAGGAATAATTGAATCTGACGTTACAGACCACTTTCCGATCTTTACCATTTTTAAGTCTAATATACAATTTAAGAAAAAGTCTTGCCGAGGAAAATTAATGTCTCGTTCTTACAAGAACTATGATGTTACAAAATTCCATGCTGAGCTTGCCAATATAACATGGGAATCAGTTTATGCAGCGGATGATGCTGATCTCGCATACTCCCGTTTTTGTGAAATCATGACAAAAGTGTGTGATGAGCATGCACCAGTTGTAGCTCAACACGGTAAAAGGAGAAAGAACGAACCTAAGAAACCTTGGATTACAAAAGCTATAATGAATTCCATAAAAAAGAAACATACAATGTATTCACAGGTTCTTGCCACCAACCACAATCCTGTCTATTTAACAACATACAAGAAGTACAGGAATATGTTAACTACAATAATCAGAAACTCAAAGAGAAATTACTATAGTAGGATATTCCTTGAAAATAAGGGTGATACTAGCAAAACATGGAAGACTGTAAACGAGATTTTAAGTGGTGGAAACAATTCGTTTAAGCCAACAGTGGTGGATAAATTGTGTGTGAATGATACTGGTACTAATGAAACCCTGTGTAATGAACAAGATATTGCAAATGCATTTAATGACTTCTTTGTTAATGTTGGTCCAAATTTGGCGAATGCCATACCAAACACAAATCGTAATACAGAGAAAGTTTTAGACGATGGTGTAGACAAATCTTTCTTCTGGAAACCAGTTACTGAGACTGAGGTTAACAACCATTTAATAGCCTTGAATGTAAAGAAAGCTAGTGGGTATGATAATATGCCAATCAAGCTGATAAAAGATGCTGTGCACTATGTAACTTCTCCCCTTACATTTATTTTCAATCTGTCTTTCACCTCTGGTAAATTCCCAGATGCCTTTAAAATAGCAAAAGTGACACCTGTTTATAAGAAAGGACCTAAAGATGAAGCAGGAAATTATAGACCTATTTCAGTATTACCTGTTCTTGGGAAGGTTTTTGAAAAAATTGTAAATAATAGGCTTCTTGACTTTCTTGAAAAAAATCATGTATTATATGAGCACCAGTATGGCTTCCGTAAAAAATACAGTACAAAATTGTCAATGATAAATTTAGTTAACACTTTGAGGAATTCAATGGATGAGGGAAGAATCACACTTGGGATATTTGTAGACTTTAAGAAAGCATTTGATACAATTAATCATGATATTTTATACAGCAAACTTTCACACTATGGAATACGAGGAATAGCATTACAGTGGTTTAAGGACTATTTTTATAGAAGATTTCAATTTGTACAGTACGGAAATGTAACATCTCCCATGCTGCCTTTAACATGTGGTGTACCGCAAGGCTCTGTCCTAGGCCCAACGCTTTTCCTACTTTATATTAATGATATGCCATTTGCTACACGTTACTTTAACTTTCGACTCTTTGCGGATGACTCAAACTTATTCCATACATTTCCTGAAGGGCAAAAAGAAATTGATATGACTGAAGTGAACACAAATCTTCAAATTGTTTCAGACTGGTGTAATGCTAATAAACTGACAATTAATTTACAAAAGACGAGTTATATGCTAATAAGAAACCAGAGACGGCAGATTAATGTTCAAGGGCAACTGGCTATATCAGAAGCTGAAATAATAGAAGTTGATTCTTCGCTCTTTGTTGGGATAAAGATTGATAAACACTTGACTTGGAAACCCCACATACAAATGGTTAATAAATGCATCAGACAAAAAGTAGGAATCCTCTTCCGCTTACGGCATTTTGTGCCTAGAAATATCCTAGTGTTGTTGTATAAAACCTTTATTCAACCTCATATATCATACGGAATTGAAGTGTGGGGGAGCACTTACAAGTCTCACTTAAATTGCATACTGTATACACAGAAGATGGCCATACGGACAATCACATTTAGCCATTTTATGAGTCGTTCAGCACCATTGTTTTACGAATTGAAAATCTTAGATATTAACAAGTTCTATGAGTTGTCTCTATGTACATTTATGTATGACCTAGTACATAATAATTTACCTCACTGTTTGACGGATTATTGTGATAAAATTGAGCATAGATACAATACAAGAAAAAGAGAAAAGGGCCATCTACGTATACCACTGTATAAAACAACACAAGGCAAATTTTCAGTAACTTAAGGAACCCGATTATGGAATGAACTTCCCGATGAAATCAAAAACAAAGGGTCTAGAAACACTTTTCGTAAACATCTCAACGATTACTTGATGAATAAGTGATTGAATTATGCAAGTACACATGTATATATTGTAAATAATCTCCATATTACATTTTTGTTGTTTTTTTTTGTCAAAAAAATGCAATTTTTTGTATAAATAATCTGTAGATACATGTATCTATGACTTTTTAACCTGGTATATCCTCTTCATAATTATATTTGGAGTGTAGAAATTGTGCTACGGTATTACTCAACATATACTTCTACTGTCAAGTTTTATTTTTTGATAATGATATATTTATTTTTGCCAAGTGTGTGCTAAGAACAGGGGCCAGACTCGACTAGCACATGTGCTATTATTTGGCTCCTTTTCATCACCTTCTATATATGTCTAGCATATCAATACTTTGTTAGGTTTTTCTTTAATATGATCTATAATATTCATTTATGAACATGTACCATTCACGATGTATTCAAATGTTTAATCACTGATGTTATTGATGATGAATAAATAAAATCAAATCAAATCAAATCAAATGTAGTGTACCGTAATAATTACCAAAATACTGTGTACCATGGTAATTTTCTTTAAGGGAAGCCATACTGTACTAGAAGCACTACCGTAAAATCCTTTGATTGGGCAAAGGCATTGTTTAACAATGTTAAATCCGAGATGCATGGCCCTACATGTTATCAGTGTCTGTGATATGGCGTAATATTGAAGCCCTAAAAAATTGTGCTTCAAAATGATCATGAAATGCCTCAAAAATTTTAAAAACTTTGAGTGACCGGTTTTACCATACTCACTTTTCCCAATAGACTGTAGTGTTATAAAAACCATTAGGAAAATGAACTATGACATTTCTAATTCCAATCATAGATATCTTGATAATCAGACAGGTGATTGGCTTGTAAAAGTCATGGGATTCCTGACTGATCTAAAGGTTTATAACTATGATTGCAGCATGAGCTTAAATCCAGGATTTAAAAAAAAAATCTGAGGCAAAGTTACCCAATCCCTTTAAAAAGCAGTATTTGTACTTTCATTACTCATATTTTTTTCCAATGTTTGCATGCACTACAGGGAATGGCATCGGAGCTGAACATGTATGAATCCCAGGTCCAAGAGTACAAGTACGAGATAGAGAGACTCGCGAAGGAGCTGCAGGATGCCAAGAAGAAGTACTACGCCCAGAAACGAAAGGAACAGCAAGCAAGGTAGGACACACTACACTGCAATACTCAAAACAAGAGTCATCTTGACAGCAATATGCTTTTAGATAATGCCTCACTCACACCTTTGCGTATTTATGGCAAGCCGTTTTAACATTCTGTTGTAAAGCAATGGTAATTCTTGATAGCAAGAATTTGATATCTTGATTTCAAGAATTAAATTCTTGATAGGAATAAATGTTAAAAAGGCTTGCCATGAATATGCAGCAATATGCAAGCCAAATACGCAAAGATGTGACTGAGGCACAAGGCAGAAAAAGAATGAACTGTTGGAAGTCAAGATAGTCGGATATCAAGGGTGCAAATTGATCAACATACGCTACTTCTACTACTTTCCATATTCAGTTTAAAGTTCACCTTTTCAAGATTGAAAAAAAAAGAAGAAATATTTGTTGCTTTAAGAAAAAAAAAATTCTACACAACTCATTGATAAGTTGTCTTTCTTTTCTCAATATAGAGATTTTCATATTTTGGAGAAAATGTCAGGAAATAGAGAGGGCTCAATCGATTGAATTTACCTCTAATGTTGTTGTTCAATGTTGTTGTCACATTCCTATATTCCCTTTTTAATATAACTATTATTATTTTCTTTAGGTTGGATATCTAAGAATATCTACTGTACCATGTTGACATATTCTTTATCTATGAATATCTACTGTACCATGTTCACATATTCTTTCTTGTGTGTGTTCATTGCAGAGAGCGAGACAGAGCCTTAGCGCAAGCTGGAGCGCCACCTATCCAGCCGCAACGAACAGACGGTCCTAGGTTCACAGGAGGGGGCTTCAACTTGAAACAGACCGGGAAAGTAGGCGCTAGCTGAAGACCCCGCCCATCCCCAATTTAACCCAGCCATATTATTATATCTATCAAGAATATTGTATTGACCGAATCTATTTTGTGGAAAGTTATCACTTGTTACTGCCTTATATTACTAATATTTGGTATTAGCACTTTGCTATCAATCATTATGTCTGTTCCTGAAGTAATTAATTATAGACATTGTTTTAGAGGGAAGTGAAGAAATGGGTGGGAACTCCAATTGATTTTGAAATGAAACGGTGGTTGATAAAATTCCCAGCAATGGCAGCTGGTAAACTGAATTTACAGATTCAATTCGACAAGTACACTCTATGATACCATATCTCATGGTGATGTTGTTGTAGTTATCATTCTCTCATAGTCTCGGCAATAACACACCCCAACTGAAAATAGGCAATACAAAATGCTAATCCAGTATACAACCAAAAATGTGCTTTTTGAAGTGTAATTTTTATCATTCTGCATTATACATGTACATTTTTCTTTTTCCTTATCTGAAAGAAATAAGCTCTCTTCAGTTCAGAGGATACTACATATATCATACATGCAATTTCTAAATGGTTTAATATAGTTATATACATGCTTGTTTTACCCATATATTGTATCACATATATTATGAATAACCCATTCACTTCAAGCCGTCCATATCTTTATTATATGCAAATTGAAGACCTTGCTGTTTATATCTTGAAATAAAATGAAACTTTCACTGAAAACACTAATTGACCGTTTTCCTCTTTGTTCATTCATTACAGAACATGTAGTAGATTTTTTACCACATCATCTCCAAATAATTATTACATAGAAAAAAAGCTCAATCATAATATAGATATAATATAGGCCTACAGGTTTTTAACCTCCCATGATACATACATGTACATATGACAGTCACTTCATATTCGTATACATGTATTTTTTAACAAGTATTTTTTTAACAAGTATGTGTATGAAATACTAGTTTGGTAAATCAATATAGAAACGCAACACAAAAAACCCCTAAAACCTATGTTTTTCACTTTCTTTCAATCCTGTTGACAACTTACCATTTGTGTAAAGTTGTTAAAATTCATTATTTCATTTTTCAAAAAAGTTTACTCACAGATATCTTATTCCAAGAACTCAAAGTTTACTTCCTTTATCTAGGTCCTACTAAATTACTTCTAACTACCGGTATGCTCCCTACACTCGTAGCTTTGTAATTATAATTTGCCTTGGAAGTATTATTAGCCAGTTTCTTCAGTCGTGTTTCAATAAGGATTAACTCTTTGCCTGCTTTTGGTCAACCAATGTATCAAACACTGGACTGATACGGTCTACATTTTGTCACACATGTATCACACATAAACCATGTACTCCTAGTAATGTTGCAGTCTTGGGTTTCGATCCATAGCGTATAAAGAGTTACAAAGTTATTCTATTGCTGTCATACTGGACAGTTTCAATAGTGTAAGATTTACTTCTGTGGGGACTTTCTTCTACCAAAACAACTAAAGCAGGCAAAGGGACAGCATCCCGGAGAGATCGTTGAACTCTCGTCGTCGTCAGATGTCAAAGCCTCGTAGCTGGTGATGCTGAGGTAGCCTCCGCCTGTGTGCAGGGGGGGGGGGGGGTGACGGAGATAAAGAGAGAGATGGGGACAGGGGGACAGGGGGACAGAGACACATAGAGAGAGAGATGGGGGAGAGGGAGAAAGGGGGGGGGGGGGAGAGGGAGGAAGAGGGAGGAAGGAGAGGGGGGGGGGGGAGGCAAGGGAGAATAGAGAGGAGAAGGGGAGAAGGACGATGAGGAGAGAGATGAATATAAAGAGTGGAGAAGGAAGAAAGAATAGAGAGAGGAACGAGAGAGTGTGTGAAAGTGAAGAGAGTGATAGGGAGAAGAAAAGATATTGACAGAAATATGGAAAGATTGTTATTTGTAAGTTGTATCCGATTTACAAAAAATGTGATTAAAACAAAAATAGAATAAATGGGGATGAATATAGAGAGAATGTCTTATTCACTAATCAAATGGGTTATTAAGATACCAAAGACATTTTTCATTTTATACTGATTACCTTTCTGTATTCCATGTTTTTGTCAATGATAAAACAGACAAGATTTATATAAAACAGACACAAACAAACACTTCTTACACTCTCCGTTTTAAAGATAACAGATCAGCTAAACAACGAAAAAGTAAATTGATGGATATTTCCCCCTTTTATACAATTAAGGATTAGAATCCAGTATGAGTGACCACCTGCTAATTTGCGTCCTCGAATCCCGGCCCCCCCACTCAGTGTTATTTAGGGTATATACGCATATGCTCGTACCCTCTTTTTGAAAGCACCCCCTATCTGAGCACTGCCAATATTTCCGAACCCCCCTTTCGCGGGCTTTTCGCGGGCTTTTCCTGCCTTGGAGACCCCCCTAAATCAGGAAAAATGCTCAATGTACCCCCCTAAATTCGGAATAATTTCTCAGGAGTTCAAAGAGATGAGAGAAAAAAAGAAAAAAACCCCCTTTTTAAAGAAATCTCCGGTTGAAAAGTCAAATACACCCCTTTTTTTACAATTCTCGGGCCGGACTTTGTCGCACGAAAAGTACCCCTTTACCGGACATTTTGGCAACACGCATGCGGTCATTCCGACCTCTGAGTGGGGGGGGGGGGGGGGGGGGGGCCGGGCCTCGAATGATAAATAAAAACATGACTTTACCATTTTTGAGAGACTTGGGTAGCTCCAGTTTTCTTCGAATAAGACCACCTCCCGAGGAGGAGACGGTGGATGCTCGACCCAGGGTCCTGGGAGTAGAGATGTTCGAACCAGGCGTACAGAAGTAAACCTCGGCGCCGCGTGTTCCCTCCATGAAACCGTCCGATCGGTTCGCTTGTGTGGAATAACGTCTGTCAGGGGATGAATTACTGTAGGTCGTCCTAATCAAGACAGAAAGAAAAAGCAGTAATGTATGATCAGGGAGGTGAGACTTTAGCCCTGGTATGATTCGTGTTGCATGGGTACAGCCCACGAAACCGATGACGGGCAACCTTTAAAGAGACCGGCATTATCGGTCGGGTATATCGGTCGGGTATATATAGGCCTTCTGATATTTATCTGATGGCTGAAAATTAAGGGGACAGAGCCAATTAAAAGATGAACAACAAAAAAATGTGTAAATGAAATTGTAGTCAAACATGCATTCAGCATATTGTCACACACACGCAATATGCTTTCTCAATTCAAATTAAACTTAACATTTATACTTACATCAATGTTCTTTCTACCTAATTTCAGACAATCACAAGATATTGTGTCTATCAGACGTTATAGAGAGAGAGAGAGAGAGAGAGAGGAAGAGAGGGAGAGAGGGAGAGAGAGAGAGAGAGAGAGCTAGAGAGAGAAGGGGGAGAATGTGATGGGGGAGTGGATAGCTAGTGTGTGTGTGTGGGGGGGGGGGGGATGGAGTGGGGGTGAGAAGGGGGAGACGGAGAATCAAAGCCTCTGTAGCATGCATACTATTAACTAATAGTTCATGTAAGCTTACAAGTAATCGGTGTCCTCATCATCTGATGCAAGTTCGTTGAACCCTTGGCCGAGGTAGAAATGATCACCACGAGCATGAGAGCAGAGCATTGTCTGCACCTCGGCGTCGTTGTGATCTACCTGCGACTAATAAATACGTGAAAATTCCGATGAATAATAGTAATCATAACAATTAGATAATACTGATGAATAATGATGATAATTAATGATGATAATTATATTCTTATACTGAAAAAGCTACATTTAAAATGCGCAATTTGCCTATTCATGGATTCACCCCTCCGGCAGATACCGCTTGTCTTGGGCACTTAAAAAAGTGCTCCATGTTTGGTTTCATATTAATAAATGAAAACAATATAGAATGTTTTGATACTTTCGGATTTAATTTAATTTAACTGTGCTAATATAAGTTGGAAACCATGAAGTGATGGAATACGAGCCTAAGCAACTTTAATGTACTTTTTTGTTATAAAATTATTAAGAGAAAAACAAAGTATATATTGAATAATTCCAAAGAAGCCGAAGTTTGGTAACTAGATTTCAATTTAATTATTCCATAGATAAATTTCAGAAGAATCAGTACTTGAAATGTCCATTCAGTATTCTAGTAGAAAGGGTTCCGTGATCATTCTTAGATATTTCCTTTTCAAATTGAAGCATACAGCACAAGCTCTGAGGTTTAAGGTCCAGAGTAAGAAGATGCCAAACCATTGGCTTTCCTCATCTTTATTCTTATGTTTTCCTTTTTTTTTAATTTTTTTTAAAACTCTCTCCTTTTCGCTGTTTCTATCCTTCATACTATTCTATGACTATGACATATATATATTGTCGAACTCTCTCCCTTTCTCCGTTACTCTCCTTCTTGCCTATTTGTCATGCGCTTTACAAAAACGTTTAATTAATTATTTATTATTATTATTAAATTATTGTATGACTATGATATACATGTATAGATTTGTAAGACATTCTGCTTTTGTGAGTTAAATTTCTAAGCTCCATGTAATTCAGACCTTGGGCTAATATATGGATTTAAAAACAAACCTATTTTAATTTCAATTTCAATTTTAATATAGCCTAGCACATGCATGCACAGTTACGCAATAGAATTGACGCCTTTGGTGCAAAGGACACGCTTTCATCATAATTTTACCCACCTCATTCATTGAGAGTTCTTTATTCAGTGTGGCAACTTCGGTCTTGGCTTCATGCAGTTCTTTTCTCAGCTTCGTTGAACAAATTTTGTGCCAGAAAAGGTAATTTGGAAAAAAAATATAAAAGATAACAAATAAAAATAGACTTGGAAAACTCATGTGAGCGCATGCAGTTACTATTCGCATCTGAACTGTCTAAATTTATTTGTCTTTTGCACTATTTACATCATGTGTAATTAGTGAAAATATTGTAAACTGTGGACAAATGTAAAATAAAAACATTAATTCCACTGTCCTCATGAATATGTAAGCAATTGTTTCAGTTTTCAGGCTCAGTTAATTGTTCCAAATTATTTTACATTTTTTTCACAGTTTACATTTTTTTTCACTAAGTAGGCCTTGATAGCGCAAAACACATTAATTCCACTGTTAAAGACATAACAGAAGGTGAGTACCTCATATCAATCTGTTTGCATGCAGTTTTTATTGTAAAGATTAAACTAAAAGATTAAACTAAAAGAAAAGAGAAATAATGGTAGCTATGCTTATTGTGTATATGCCCGAAAATGACCTATTGTGTGGTTGTTGTCATTAAATCGAAGAAGAAAAAAATATCTTATGTTCGGAATTCGACTTTTATTCTATATTTATCAACACTGTTGAACACATATAGATATAAAAACCAAAGTTTAAGGTCAGTTTAATACCTTCGCATTTTCCAGAACGAGTATACTGCTGGCTTGTGCCTGTTCGATGACGAACTCATTAAAGCTATGGTCCCATCCCTCAACTCTGATCTCAGTACCGCCACCCCCATCGCCTCCAATGGCATCTTCCATGATGACGTCACCCCGCTTCTCGCATGCGATAAGTCGCTGAGGCGTTACCTTGGCGACTGAATGAAATTGATGCGGAACATTCAACAGGTGTATGAACTATTACAGTAAAATTGTCATTAATTGAGGGTGATCATAACATGTAATTTAGGCTTCTCACAACCTTAAAATAGTAGACAAGATTAAAGATTTCATCAATTTATGGGGACCGTCTCAAGCCAAGTGAATCTTGACATGGTTTTCTGTTGTTTGCTGCCTCGAGATCCAGCGAAATTACTGGAGCAAAAATAGGTGACAGTGAATAGCCAGAGTCCATAATAAGTGAAGGAGGTTCTTCAAAAATCTATTACACAGGATGTAAGGACTAATTTGAAGAGAATCTGAAATGGAGAGTATACTCGCATAGCTATACTATAAAACAAACCTGTTTATTGCTATACATTGTGCAATACAGAAAGACAAAATTTATTTCGTCAAATTGAAATTGAAATTGAATTTGACAATCGGAAATGTGAAATCTTGTTTTTCTTGCTAAACGAACATTATAAATACACCATGAGTACAGGAGTAGATATCCACTCTGTCAGGAATCATTTTAGGGATCTCTTTATTTTTAGTGGAAATCCATGCTCAGAACAATAAAAGAATCGACACTCGAAAGAGTAAACCAAACCACTTTTTGGAGTGGATTTCATTATCATTTTGGAGGGGATTCAACTATCAACCTAAATGATCCCTAATAATTATGACTCATAAACGAGCCTGGATAACCATTCCACTATTATCCGCACATGGCCATTGATATCATCAAAGTCATTCAATACAGATAACAGGCTCCTTCGAAAAAAATATATATCTTGAGAAATGTAATTTCACAGTTATTTGTAATAAAAAATGTCCCCATTTTTTGACTTACTCTTAAACCTTGGAAGATAGATTGGTTTCAACCGGCTGGTTGGAACAATTTCTTGAATAATTTATTTTTTTGAAATTTTGCCAAACAAATAAACAATAAAAAAAGCTTGTCATTAGCTTGCTCGATATAACCATGGACCTACTAACGAAATCGTGCAATGGATTGCTTGAAAACAATTATTTTTTTTCGAGCAAAAGAGAAAAACAACCCTGTCAAATTCAAGGTGATCAGACAATTAAAGTATTTGTTAATTCAAAGGCAATTTGGAAAATGTATTTTTTTTGGTCGGGCAACGCTTCAGTTGATTTGATCAGTGGGGTATTTCATCAACATTTGTCCGCCGACAACTGTCAGCGCTGACTAAATTTGACCAATCAGAGGCCTGGAAAATAGTCGGTGAAAATAAAATTGTATGTAAAAATGATATTAGTCTGTGAAAACCACCGACTAATTGTTTCATTAAAACGCCCCCTGGCTTTGTGAGCTCTTTTAAGTCTCTCCTTATCCCTCGTATCGAAATATCAATTATACATGATTGATAATACATATAGCTGATTACACTCATCAATACATGTGTGATAATGAAGAGAAGTTTGGATATTATACATGGTGTTTGCCAGAATTAGCACAGAAAAAGTATGACAAGAGCTGTGTACTATAATGTGTGTACTAGATACTGCTGCAATGCTCATATCATTTTACTATTTTAAGGGGAAAATAAAGACCTTTTTGTGTCACGAAAGACTCAATATTTGTAGTTTTAGGTCATAATTAAACTTGATTACGTAGCGTGGATGTTCCTGGAATTTCTCGTCTCATGTCAAAAAAGTCATTACGAAATCAAGAACTGCCAAATAGGGATATTGCCATGTTGTAGTGAAAAGCTCCCTGGTCATATCTTTATCATGTAAACGAAGGCCTACATTTTTACACCATACACACTTTAATAGAAAAGTAGTTCGAATGATGCTCTTTTACACCATACACACTATATTAGAAAAGTAGTTCCAAGGATGCCTTTTTACATCATAAACAATAAAATAGAAAAGAAGTTCTAATGATGCTCTTTTAAACCATACACACATTAACAGAGAAGTAGTTCCAAGGACGCTTTTTTACATCATACACACTTTAATAGAAACTTATTCAAAGGATGCTCTTTTACAGCATACACACTGTAATAGAAAGGTAATTCCAAGGATAGTTTTCTACATGACATGATTTCTGCTGCGCAGTGCGCTGTCGGTCTACGCAAATTAGATCAGACTAGACAAAAAGTTGGACACATTTGATATCAATATAATGTTCAGAACGTAGGACTTTTGTCGCGGCGCGCAGTTGCAGTACGTTTACACCTTGAAAATAAAACCGCTTCACGTGTGAACGAGCCATTAGAATACCAAAAAAAAAAAAAACCACATAAAAACACACATAGGAGCATCACTGTCCTGGCTGTGTAGTAAAAGCTGTGCTTTTGATTCTCAACATTTCAAACACCACTGTACAAAACTCAATTGATTTCACTCAAAATCGGTACTTTAGTGACAATATTGATGACACCTAAATAGCAGTAAAATACATTTTTTTCAACTTACAGATGTTAAAAAGAATAATTTTAAAATTCAAATTGTAAGTCTACTGTCAAACTTTGCTTACAGCCGCATCGGCATGATTGTATGCAGTCTATGCAATATTGTGTGGTGTGTGTATTTGTGTATGGGTCTAATAATACCTGCCTCACAGCAAGCATGCAGTGCTAAAGGTCAATACGCATTAGCATTGACTCTCTATGCTTTGCTGGAGTGCATAAAAACAGTAATTACCTTGTGAAGGGATCCGTGGGATGACTGCTCGACTGAATCTACGATCCCGCCCATTCCTCCCATTTCTCATCTGTGAATGGATGTCAGTCTCATCCTTCTCTCCATCATCCGTTGCTATAGTAGCCGATGCTGCTCTGAAACATACACCAAATTATTCCATACCGTTATCAATTAATTAATACGTTTACGTGCGTGCTCTGTACTAAGTGTGAAATCTTAAAATGAGTAAAAATTACAAACATACAAATAGGGTAATGAGGACAAATTCCAAACGCAATTTACTCCATGTACCTGTGAATATTTGAAGGTGCTGTATTCTGGGAATGAGGTTTGGTGTCATCTTTGATTCTCAACGTTGAAGCCCCCCTCATAGGACCTTTACCCTCTGGAATCTGTGTTTTCCAGACTTCTGAAGTGCTTTTGGACGCAGTCTGTGGCAAGTCTTCCGTTTAAATACATGGGGAGAGAGAGAGCGAGAGAGAGAAAGAAAGAGAGAAAGAAAGCAGGGGAGGGGGAGGGGGGGGGGGGGAGAAAGGGACAAAGAAGAAATGAGAAGAGTAAAAAGGGTATGAGCCACAGACATTCAGAAGAGAGAGAGAGAGAGAGAAAGAGAGAAGTAAACGCGAGGGAAGAAGAAGAAATTAGAAAGAGATGGTGCGAGTGCGAGAAAGTCGGAAGAGAGAGAGAGAGAGAGAGAGAGAGAGAGAAAGAGGGACAGATAGAGAGAGAGAGAGAGAGAAAAGATAGAGAGGGAAAGAAAAAGAGAAAGGGAGTGAGATAGAAAGAGGGACAGATAGAGAGAGAGAGATAGAAAGTTGATTGGAAAAAAAAAAAAACTTATTTAGATCATTTTCCTAATGAATTCACGGACATTTTTCTTCTGCACATAATCTACAACTGCTAATATGTGTTTTTCCCTATTATCTCGTTAATCATAAGGATGATATAAACCAATGACTATTTTGTTTTATGACAATTATTTTCGCAATATGTGCCCCTGCCCCCCCCCCTCGGATACGCCCCTCACCAGAAAGACAACTGACTATAGTACAGTGTATATGTTGTGACAAAGAGAGCGGAACATACCGGTGACATCACGATGTTGTTCGGTGAGATTGCCATGGCAACCGTTCTCCTCTTCAGTCCCGAGTACGGTGGTGAGAAGGTCCACTGCGGAATGAGCGGCGTCAAGCAGGTTTACCGCCGTCCGGGCCGCGTCCAAGAGCTTCTGACGCTCGCTCATAATTGATTTCTGGAAGCTGGAGGCTAGGGCAGGCCTGTCGCTAGAACGTCGCTTTATTACATTAAGAGTTATCTAACTTTGAACGTCGGTTTAAAGAAGTGGGAAAATGTATGAGGCACGGAATATTGTATTGGAAATGAAAGCGAAGAGAAAAGGGCCCTCACCATACCACCACCTGCCACCACCACCTGCCACCACCACAATTTATACCACTTCTACCACCACAGCCATCATCACCGTCACCACCACAGCCATCATCACCGTTACCACCAGTATTACAACCATTACAACAACCACCTCCATCACTATCACCACCATGACCACCACCAACACCACCACCACAACCATTATCACTTCAATCACTATCTCCATAACCATCACCACCACCTTCACCACAATCCATCATCAATACCTCCATCACTACCACTTACCACCACCACCGTCACTATGACCACCATTACCATGTCCATCAGAAACCAACATCATCATCACCAACACCACCCATACCAATACCAACATCATCATCACTCCCATCATCATCATAGCCATCATCTCTAGCATGCACCACTTTGCGCGTACAGGCGTGATCTTACCAGTGCTCCAGCCGGTTTGTCATGAGATGGTCCAGCAGAAATTAAAGGAGCCACGAAAAGCTTGCTTGATCTCTATCATCAACCAGTACACATACTATAGTCATTCAAATCTGTTTTAAATATATGTACCTGTATTCATTGGGTGTCTGTCGAACATGGATAACTCTAAGGGATTCCTAGAGCTATAAAAGGCTACGTAGGACAATCCCATTACAGTTTTCCGAAAAAAAGTTGTCATGGTGCTTTATTGTCAGACCACTTAACATGGTTCTTATTCATTTTGCATTCCTACCTCTTCCACAAAAAAGGACAACAAAATAGAGCCTCATAGAAATGATGTGTGTAACCCTTGGTTCAATGACTTTGTAATTACAATTCAATTAAATTGATAGCGCTTGTCATTGGTGACTTGACATATTTAGTTCACCTGTTCCAAAACAATACACCGAATTGGTCAAACAAATCTTTGGCTTTCGTGATTTTCAGGATTCTTTTTTTTTTAAATGTGTGTGTGTGGTTGTCAGGTTGTGGGTATGTTCACATAGCAAGTACTATCCGAAGTGGACATTTACGTCACTATTAACAAATTATTATCTATTCTCGCCACATTGTAGATTACATTATGATGATTATGTAATTGGTAAGTTTTGACAATCGACAAGTATGATCGGGATATTATTGTTGAAAATGTATTTATTGAAAAGAAAATGTATCGTAGCTCAAGAGCTGAATTACATGGAATATACAGACATCGCACATATAAATACAGTCAATATCCCATTTGACATACATGCACATTTATATTTTCAAAGATTCACACAAATAATCAAAGAGAGGATGGGAGAATTTTACGGCTTATACACCGGTGTTAATTTATCGGAATGGAACCAACTTTAGGCATACGTCTTTGACCAAATTATGTCATTTACCTGTTACGAATAATTGTATTTCAATAGTCAGAATGCGAATTGCATTTATTAGACGTTGTTAGGTAGGGCAAGCGATTTTGTTTGCCCTACCTAGCAACAACTAATGTAGGCAGTTGACATTCTGACTATTGTAATACAATTACTCGTAAAAGATGAATGACATTGTTCGTTTCAAGGTAGTTCACTTAAACGTATGCATTACATTTGGTTACATGACGAAAATGGCCTATTGGCTACTCTTTTTCCTTATGAATTATTTATCTGGATAAAGTTATTCACTGAATTCCCCGGCCCCCCACTCCGAGAACGGACGGACCGCATGCGTGTTACCAAAATGTCCTTTTGTAACAAAAGAAAAAGGTCGACCCGTATTGACTTTACACACCAGACTTTTGCTGAAAATTGGGGGGGGGGGGGGGGGTGCTGAAAAAGGCTCGTATAACAAAATAAAAAGGTCGACCCATATTGACTTTACACACCGGACTTTTGCTGAAAGGGGGGGGGGGCGATTGGAACACGCATATGCGTACCCTAAATAACACTGAGTTGGGGGGGGGGCGGGCTGAATTCACTCTATTAATCCTATGGCACCATCACATCTTTGCTCTTGGCTCGAAATATACAATATATACTGTAAGGCACGGGCGTAAATCCGGGTCGGGTGGGAGGGGGGTGGGGGGGGGGGGGGGGTAAATTCATCCCCTTTTGAAGGAGGGGATGTCTTGTTTAAATATCAGTCAACTTTTAAAGGAAACACTATCGTTAAAGTCAATCAGTCAATCAATTTTGACAAAGGTAAAATAAGTGACTACTATAGTTGTGAAAAGTTCTCTGTACAATGCTATTGAAATGTTTAAAATAGGTTTAGAACCGTATCCGGACAACTACCCCCTAGGGCAACCACCCTCTAGGACGGCTACTCCCCTGGATAACCCCAACTACCCCCTAGGACAACTACCCCCGGACAACTACCCCCAGACAACTACTAGGATAGTTGTCTGGGGGTATTTGTCCGGGGGCTAGTTGTCGTAGGGGGTAGTTGTCGTAGTGGGTTGTTGTCCAGGGGGGGGGGGGGGGAATAGTCGTCCTAGAGGGTGGTTGCCCTAGGGGGTAGTTAACTGGGGGTGGTTATCCGAGGGGATGGATGTCAAGGGGGTAGGTGTCCTAGAACCGTTTAGAACATCTTGAAATGAGTAAATTTTTTCTCCTTTAAAACAAATTCTCACATGTATACCTTTTTCAGAGAAAGCATTGAGTTCTGACCATGGAGGTACATTTCGAAAGAAACCTTATTTAAGCAATTAGGAAAAGTTGATTATATGTAGCACGTATGACTCGATGTGTGTCAATTATGGAATTATCCAAATCGGATCAATCTTGCCAAAATTTACAAATATTATTTGATTTTTTATTTTGATTAATTTACAAACAGCAATACAGTACTACTTTCATACAATGTGTTTACATATACAAGAAGAGAAACTATTAGTTGGTAAAAGGGGCCATATAATAGCACATGTGCTAGACGAGACTAACCCCTTAAACAGCTAAACAAAGTATTTTGGTACAAATCAGGTAAGAAAACGTTACAAAACGAAAATAATGAATTTACAATTACAATCGAAACTTTAACAAATAACAGTACTTAACAATATCTTACAAAGTACAAACTTGATATTTCAAATATCGCACATCAAACATGGATGTATGAACTATTTACAATAATCGTTTTGACCAAACTTTTCAGCTATTTCCTATCATATTTCGAATAGGAGGACCAAAAAGAACAATCATTCTCAGGATACATTCTACTATGCGGGCTACTATGCTGTTCTACCAAACGGACACACCAAGAATGAGAAAGCTCTCATTAAAACAGAAAAAACTTTACCAGAACTCAAACTTTCTTTAAACCAGTTGTCTATAGTGACTTATATATTTGCACGGTGACAAAGTGGACTGCTACGTTGACGTCCTTATAAGGCACTGCCAGTGCCTTAAAAATACGTCACACTTAGCAGTATACTATGTCGATGTGCAAATCTAAAAGTCCCTATTATCAACACCGGTCACTTATTAAATTTCCCATTTCTGGTTATGAAGGAAATCTACGGTTCATAATAGGAACACCCTTCCTCCTCTTGGAAGGCACTATAGTGCTCATGGTCTCGGGTACTGTAGTTGAGATCACAGACGCCATCTTTGAAATTGAATGAGACGCAGTAGTCCTCCTTCAAGCACTCAGCAGCACAGCGGGTCTTGGACTTCTTGTGGACCGTCTTCTGTGTGAACCCTCGGAGACAGCGGTTAGAGAGCGATGACGCGGTGTATGTACTGGATCGTGTGACGGCGGCTGGAGCTATAGTATACAAACGTGGACGATTCACAATTGAGTAAACATTCTGATAACTGAAAATCATTTATACAAAAAACATCAAACAAATAAATACGCAACGGCTCCCCTAAAAAAAAAACCCATTTGTAGCCATGATAATATTCATACCGTTTGAATTCCACACGCTTTTTGAATTTAATCAAACTGGTCTACCATGCACAAGTAAGTACATAATATGATATTTTTGCAATGCCTCTTTTATACTTTTTAAAGAATCTTAATGATTTTTATATTAAACAAAAAAAGATTTTGGTATTCAATATGTAGCTCAACTAAATGAAAATGATATAGTTCCACTAATATCCATACAAAGAGCAAGCAATGCATGCAACATTTATTTTAATTTGTTTACCCTCTTTCTGTCACCCTTTTCTTCATTCTAAAATGAAGGACCGACTGGCCACAAACTTTCTATCATGAGAACACAGCAAATAGGACTGGGAAGAAAATGACTGGAGAGAATGTAGAAAAAATATAAATATTCCGTAATGATTTATTTTGTAGTAATGTTGTCGTTATCGTTGTTAATGTTTAATATTAATTTTGTTTATATTTTTTTTTACATTACATGGATTCATAAAAGAGCAAAATCAATTCCGAATGGACAAAACTGTTTGTTATATATACAAAGTAAATAAAAGGTAAATAAATAAGTATTACATGGTCCCTAAACACTGAAATGTTTGATTGATTGAAAATGTGAAACTTGGGGGCTCAAGGTGTATGGAAAGTATCTTCAAAGTTCACATTACCTTCACAGAGTACTCGAGTTTTCCATGTTGCGCATTCCTGTGCTCGAAGTCCGCCTTCATATTTATCATAATACACACAATCTTCATCAGGATAGTGTTGATATCCACTTCCCCACCATCCTATCAGAGTACAGCATTCGAGAACACGACATCCACATGAAAGAGATAACATTACATTGGGAGATCAGTTTTGTTGTGGGAAAAAACTCATTAATGGCATAGCCTATTTGTTGAGGAGTTATTTCTGGATACACGAGCGATACTGGGATAGTTCTGGACGGCCCCTGGCAATGAAATATAAACAGTTATAGAATATATAACATTGAAAGTAACAATCTTAGTGCGACGATGTATTTATTTTCTTGC